TAGGAAAAATATCATTTACTTGTGTTAAATGATGCAACATAAAAAAAATTGATGTGTCACTCAGTTATGTGAAATAGGTGTGAAGGTATTCTGGGAATCTAACGTGACGTCCAGAACGCGTTTTCTTAGAGTGATCGACCGAAGTAGCCAGTGGGCGAATGCCCTGACAGTCAATAGTGTGACCCAGAAAATCGAGTGAGTCAACGCCTATCTGACACTTCTGTATATTGATGGTAACACCATGTTGGCGTAACCTTTCAAATGCCAAGTCCAAGTGTCTAAGGTGAGTTTCCTTATCTGGACTGGCAATGAGGCAGTCGTCTAAGTATGCGTATACAAAGTCGAGACCGCGAAATACTTCATCGATGAAGCGTTGGAATGTTTGGGCCGCATTCCGGAGGCCGAATGGCATACGTAGAAATTCGAAAAGTCCGAAAGGCGTGATGATAGCCGTTTTCGGAATATCTTCCGTTGCCATCGGGATTTGGTTATATGCTTTAACCAAGTCGATTTTGGAGAATATAGATGCTCCAGATAACGTTGCCGTCAAGTCGTGTATGTGAGGCAAAGGGTAGCAATCGGGAGTTGTTTTGGCGTTCACTCGCCGGTAATCACCAGTGGGTCGCCAATCGTTACTATCCTTTTTCGGTACCATATGCAATGGGGATGCCCATGGACTATTCGATGGCCGAATGATGCCAAGGGTGAGCATATGATCGAATTCGTTTCTGGCAATTCTCAGTTTGTCAGGGGCCAGTCGTCGTGCTTTAGATGTCACGGGCTGTCCTGAGGTTATGATGTGGTGCATAACATTGCTGGTTATACACGGGAGATCGTTAGATGGGCAATTGAGTTCCGGATATTTGTCAACAATCGGTTGAAAAGTTGGATCGAGGATTGCTTTCATCTTAACGATTGACAAGCTGGGGCCTACGTAAGTTATGCCTTTGATAGACAAACTAGTAGTGTTGTCAATTAGTCGTTTACGGCGGACGTCTACGAGCAAATCATGATGATTAAGTAGGTCCGTGCCAATGATGGGCATTGTGACGTCAGCGATTAGGAAAATCCACTGAATAGGTTTGCGTAAACCTACGTTCAGATAGACGTATTTCCGACCATAGGTTGCAATTGGTTTTCCATTTGCAGCCTGTAGGTTGAAGTTAGGATCCTTCTGTCGATCTGCTGCTGTAGCAGGAAGGACGCTGACTTCGGCGCCTGTGTCGACTAGATATCTAGTCTGGCTAATTACATCGTGGATGTAAAGTAAGCGGCTAGTGCCACCGGCGACGGTTGCCGCTAACGCGTGCCGGCGGGATAGTTTCCCACAGACTTGGAGGCTTTGCCGAAATCACAAGGTTTTCGACAACATTTCGCTTCCTGGCCATAGGTGTTGTGATACCAACACCAGTCAGGATTTTTGAGAGAACGTGTGTTGGACTTAGATCGTCCACGTGCGTTTAGCCGTTGAGGGGATTTAGAACGACGATAGGAGGAATTGCTAGGCTTGTTTGACCTAAGCATCTGCTGGACGGAGTTGATTAACTCTATCATTGCAGAATCCTTCTTCGAAGTCTGTTCGGTAACTGAGTATACTTCGGTAACTGGCCGTTTCGTTATCTCTAGAATTCTATCTGCAGAGACAGCTAAGTCATCCATGAGAACACCCTGAAGTGTCACAAGTACAGTCTGAACTGACTGTGGCAGTTTGGATAAAAATAGTTCTCTGAACAGTCCTTCATCGAACTGACTTTGGCCAATGATCTCTTTCATTCTTGCCAGCATGCTCACGGCTGACTGATCTCCTAACTCGATGTTACGAAATAACTCATCCAGACGTTGTCGATCTGTGAGAACGTTTCTCTTGAGGATGGATGCTTTGAGCAACTCGTACGAGTTACTTACCGACATCTGCAGAGTTACGCACTTGCTGAATTCCCGCGGTAGGGCGTGAATAACTGCAAGGAACTGTGAACGTTGATCAGTTATGCCATGTTCACAAAAATCAGACTCAGCAATCTGAAACCACGTTTCAGCATTATCTGGCCAATATGGTACTAGCTGGATTGTTTTGGCGGTTGAGCGAATCTGAATAACCTTGGGGCTAGGATCACTCATGACGAAAAGTATGTCGATAACAATATAGTACAAGAATAAACACAAAAAGGAACGAACTCACCGGGTTTATCTGCGTGTGAATTGAAGATGTAGTTCGTGGTCGGGCTCACCAGTTTGGTGGTTGCCTGTAGTTCGTGGTTGGGCTCACCAGTTTAGGGGGCTGTAGGTATCGACGTTCGCGAGTTGTACGGATTATACTAACGCAAGATCTTATACCAACAACTTCTATAGTGTTCGTTCTTCGAGTACCAAATGGTAAAGCAAAAGACCAGATTTTGTCGTCCAAAGTACGTATTATATTTCGGGACAAAATCGCGGGTAGAGGTGAATGCTTAGCTAGCTAGTAATCGTGCACGCACGTGACACGACGGAGCACCAAATGGCGGGGATGCTTGACCGTAAGCCTTCAGCTAAACAAGTCGACTTAAACAGTGATGGTCAGCATCCAATGTTGAGTGATGATTGCTGTGGTTAATAATTTTGGGGAATTATTTACCGCTACACCGTCTAAGCTGCCCGACTCTTCTATACGCTGATGACGTGAAGATATGGAGGGCGATAAATTGTCCGGAGGACTCAGATAGACTGCAGGCAGATCTAAGGCTTCTGGAAGACTGGGCGGTAGCCAGTGGCATGACTTTCAACCTGAAAAAGTGCAAAGTAGTGAAGTTACGCACCTGTAGACTGCAGAATGCAATTTACACCCTGTGCAACGAAAGCTTGTCCTGCTCAACGTCGGAACGTGACTTAGGTCTAGTTCTAACGGACAAAATGGACACAAGCGTAAATTACACGGGGGATGTAGCGAGGGCATATGCGGTCATACACTTTACACATAGACAGTTAGGTGCACTCACTCCTGAGCTCTTTCTAAGGTTGTATAAAACATTCGTCAGACCGCATCTTGAAGTGCATAATATCATTGCAACCCCACTGCTTAAAAGAGACGCCAACCTTTTGGAAAGAGTCCAACGACGGGCAACAAAAGGAGTGGTTGGTCTCCGAAATAAACCATATGATGAAAGGCTGAAGAAATTAGGCCTATTCACACTCAGTTACCGTCGTCTTAGGGGGGATTTAATTACTGCCTACAAAATAACAAATGATCAGAATCACCCAAACAAAGGTGTTCTGCCATTGAGTAGGTATAGGCTCCCTCGTGGAAATCCTAGAAGGATAGCTCATCAGAGGGCAAGGACCCTGGTGCGCTCCCACTTCTTTTCCCTGCGGGTTTGCCGTCCCTGGAATTCCTTACCGGCAGATGTAGCTATGGCACCATCTGTGGACGCCTTTAAGCGAAGGCTGGACAACCACGCAGCGACACAAGGACTTCATCCAAATGGCCTATCCCCTTAAAATCGCATACACCATTCAAAGGTAGACAATTAAACTGGTCGTTTTACTTCTTCACATTCTCTTCAGTCTTACTCTCCTGACACCTTTAACTACACCTATTATTATTACTGGTATATATATATATTATACCGGTTGACTGACTGTTGTTACGTTTTCTTATTCTTTTTATGTCTGTTAGTCTGAATACCTTTACTAATTATATCTATTATTATTATCATTATTATTATTATCTCTTTTCTATTGACGACTATACCGAAGGACCAACTGGTGAAAGGATCAACTCCATTCACAGTAGTAACAGTCTTAACACACTTCATACTACAAACCACATATAATTAATCCTTGTACTACTCCTTTTGGAGTCAACCAAAGCTACGGCAGTCCAGTGGCGGGACGAGCTACGCAGACTTTTACCGAAGATCAGGAACCTCTACCTCACAATCAAGAGGCGAGCACAAAGAAATCAAATTGGTTTATACTAGCTCGTAAAAACGATATTGGATATTGGAAGGTCATCAATCCGTTCATTAAGTAGTTTTGTTTTGGGCTGCTATAGTTTACAGTCACCCACCCCTTAATCTCATCCCTAGACGTTAAAAAAGATAAATCAGATCGGCAGAGGTCTTTTGAAGCAAATCGCTTATTGCATTCATGACTAGTGATATGATTGTCTATTCAGGGTCACCTGATGGCCGCTTTAGTTTGGACTCACCATTTTTCCTTCATCTCCCTAGAGAAAAGTGAGCGAATTAACATAAAGCGGGAGTACATATCACGGCCTGAGGAGGTAATTAAACGATTAAAGCAATAAGAAATCGTGAAAATTCAGTGCATTACGTTACATGGAAATCCAGGTATCCCAGTAATTTAAGCAGACCGCTGTTGCATATCCACGATTATGTCCTCGCATTATCGAAGCAATCTCGTTACCGTGCATGACTATACCAACCTCACCGAATCATGATATAAAATAACACACTTTTCTGAAACTGTAAATATTACTACACTGTTTTGCAGTGTCCATTGGTGGTAATAGCCGTTAAATCAACATCCACCAGCAGTACCTCAATGTCCCTTCGCTCCTAGTTCAGTGTAAGCAATTTGTAGTGTGATAGTGACTGCTTTTAGTCTAGTTGCCTTACAGATGACCTCCGTGATTTGTTATGAACTTCAGTAGCATCTTGTTGTCATTTCAAAATGCGATCCACACTAACATGCAAAAATTGCCACTAATTTAGGTAAAATGGTTTATGATTTCTGTATTTCAGGGTGCATATAGTCACGTATTGGTCCAAAAAGAAACGACTGAACATTGAGGAGCATTGTACAGATGCTTCACTTCTCCGGCGGTTTGCGCCAAATCCTGGATAGAACAGTTAACACAGATCTACTTGATCGGTTTAATGTCTCTACGTCTGGTATCCATTGCAAAAGAAGCCCACTCATACATCAATCTAATCTTCAGAAATCCAACAACCGAAATTCTATGCTGGATTGATTGGTATTTTTTATTATAAATAAAGTCCCTGTCATTGATGTCTACAGAAAAATATGAAGAAGTCGTTTCCACATTAGATAATTCTATTTGATGTAGCACACAGTGATACAGTATTACTAACTGGATAGTACTATATCACTTTGTGTATAGTAAAAGGAGCTTATCTAAAATGAAATCATACTCTACTAGAGTGCCCAAATTATACTCTAACATTAAAGTCATCTCAAGTTACCTAAACAACTGATTGCAGTTTGCAAATTACACGTAAGCAATAGTTACTGGTCGGGTGATTATACCAGATTAGTGACATATCTCCCACCCAGTAGAAAGATCCTATTACAGAAGCACACTTTAAAATACATTCATCAGAATATTTTATTCCTATCTGTTATACATGTTCAAAGAAATTTAACTGGTCATTCGACCAGGAAATATCCAACAGATTTATCTTTAATAAATATCACTGCAAAAAGTATCAAATGTGTTATCAAGGAAGTATTATATATCATTAGCTAAGCGAAAATGGACAGCTGTTAAAGTAATAATTTATACTCAACTTTAGAAATTATGAGATGTGAGAAATAACCGAACATTTTATCACAGATTACCCAACTTGTTAAATTATTTTACGTTCATACTGGCAATCGGGACTCTTAGTATTCAGAATGGTGTCCTTTCTTCTCCCTTCCAATAAATTAGCCACCTGCCTACCATGATAAACTTTCTATTGACTGCAGTAAAATGCTTACAGAGTTTCATGAAAGAAAAGTTATTATGCAAAAGTGGTAAGGCTCAAAGTTAGGACAACCACCTCATCAAAATAACTGGGGCATAAAGCCAACTAATCAACAGTTGAAAAGTGAAAGAGAAAAGGAGTTAATAAGTAAAAAATAAAAGTAAAAGCATGATGTATTTTACATTCTGGAAATGACTTGCATGCTTGCGTGTGACTGAAAACCAGGTGTCATGAACTCTAGAACTGGTCAGTTACAAGCACTTTGCGGAAAAGAAGAAGGGTGTTTTCGGAATGTGTTATATGCAGTAACGGTGTCAACATTAACTTACTCAACTTAACTATGAATTAATCGAAAATGAATAAATACCAAGTAAAACTGAAGTTTAACTGAAATTAAATCACATTATGAAGTTTTTAAATATGAAGAGGTTAACTATACAAGAAATACAGTTATCTTTCTTTTGCTTCCTCTCCCCATTTTCACAGCTACCATTTGTATCTTCGCCGAAATACACTCACTGAAAATCGGAAGCTAGTTAAGAAGGACGTATGAGGGAATTGAGCTGAATTCCAGAAGATAGTAACAGTTATTTGTTGGTTTTCTCTTTGCAGTTATCCCAATAATCCACGTCTACTTACTTTAGCGGATAATATATTGTGAAGAATAAACACAACAGGCTTTGGACATCCCAGCATATCTAATTCCTGATTTACAAAATAGAAAAGGTAACTACTAGTAAAGGCTACTCAACACTATACAAATCACAATCTAAGAAATATTTACTAGACAAAAAACTATAAGTAATCAACTGTTCCTTTTAAGCGTAAATAATACTAATCACTTATTTTTATCAGATTATTAATAGGAAATTTTGTGGCAGTTTTCATGTTTTTCATATAAGAAGCACTTGGAAAGTGAATTTAAATTAATAATGCGGAGTATGTTGCTGACAAAAAATCTTAAGTAGTATACTGTGTGGGTGGCTGGCTTCCCCAAGAATCTTCAGTAGGGAACGAATGGATTTAATGTTGAAGAGGAGGAATGAAGGACCTTGTAAAACAGTATAGGAATCATGAAATGAAGACAAAATGAGCAGAATACGCATAACTTTCGAAAATTGAAATTTCAACGTAAGCTTTCTGTATTATGCCATCACTGTACATCATTTCGCCAAATAAACAATTCTGCTACCAAATACAAGTGTTCTGCCGTTAAAATTATGTTAGGTCGATATTAAATGAGGTGTATCGAGTAAAAGACAAACAGTAGTCCTCCGATGTTTACTGTATAACTTTCCAGGGATACTGGAAAAGATTAATTATGTTGATATAAGTATAAAACTTGGGCACTGTTGTAGAGTATAACTCCATTATGGACAAGATTTTTACTGTATAACAATGAACGATTAGTAATGTGTCATTGAAAGCATTGAATCGAAAGGGAACTATTCAGCGAAATGACCGTCTAAACACACATAACGTGGAGTTTATCTCTGGATTCAAAGATGACTACTTTCATAATCAACTTTTCCACTATCACCGGATATCACTTCTTCTTCTTCAGCAGCAGAATTTCAAAACACTAAGACTTTTCTGGCCAACTCTAGCTGAGACTAAAGAGAGTCACGAATAAGATGAATTCTGGATTTTTGAGCAAGAGATTCGCAAATACCGCAGAAATTTAGCTGAAAACCCGAAATGTTGTAGTGCCTTCCGACAAAATGGTCATTTTTGTAGAGACCATTTCTTTTCCTAAAATAAATAGTACAGTGGAAATGGTTTCTAGGCATAAGCGGCCATACAGATCCTGTTTTGATACTTATAATGTGTCAGGCTTTCAGTTTGAAAGTATTAGGCAAAAAATAATAACCAGAACTTTCGAGCTACTTAAAGAGATTATTTACCCTACGTAAAGTTGATAATAATGATAGTGGTATTGAAATGTACCATGGCATAGTCTAATTCCTTTTCTATTGTTGCTACATTTACTTACATATTCTCCATCAGGTCCGAAATCAATCCACAAAATAGTTTTCCCATCATCGGCAGTTGATCGCAATCTTTCATATGGATATTGCCATATTACATGTTCACCCATCACACTACCAGATGTAAGAGGCTGTGAGGTTGCATGAGCAGATCCCGTTGGATTTTGGCGACATAATAATTTTAAACCAGTATCATAATGTAATGTTAAGTGGCAATCGTAATTCTGCCACCTACAGGTGATAACCACTTCTTGAGCTGCGGCTACGGCCATATGTGCACCTTCAATTATTGCGTTAGACCAAGTTATTAAGTCTTCTTGATTCGATACAGCAAAAGTATGAGATTCAACACCATGCTTGCTACCTGAAAAGTAACACAGTTACAGATCAGAAACAAAAAAATATGGAAATTATTGTGTATTTTTTACCATCACAAATTCTTTTAGTTTAATTTTATTTTTTACTTTGATTGAACACTGGTCACTGACAAGTGTAGTGCGTCAAGTCCTTTTATTTGACACAAACTGAATTCTGTCAGTCAAGTTTGCTTGTGGCCAGCATTCTAGGTGGCTCGCCATGACGGTGAACTTTGCACCCAAGAAAGGATTAGACACCCCACACTAGTCACTGACTAGTGTCCAGTTAAAGTATCTAATACAGTCCTACAGCAGTTCAGCCGCGAGAACGAATGGCTTAGTGGTAAAGTCTCTGACTGCAGCACTAGTTGATGCGGCTCTGAATCTCAAAAAGGACATGAGTTCCTTCAAGGTTGCAGATATGCCTTGCTGACTAGTGCCAACTATCACGAAACCTTGGCACAGGGCTTCCTGCTGATTGTCTCCAACCATCTAATATTGCAAAAGTTTTATTTTTCCATAAATATATATATATATAATCAGTAGTATGGAAACACCATTTACAAAAATTTGAACCTGGTTCACTGTTTATGTATTGTTTGGTCAGCCGTTAATCGTAGAAATCCACTGGATTCAGATATAGGAGAATGTATCTAATACTTCTTTAGAAAGAATATTTTTGTAAAAATTATCTTAAAATCTTCCATAAATAATCTCTCATAAGCTACATGAAAGCCACCATAGCTCATAAATCGTCTGAATGAAGAAAGCGGTAGTCAAAACTGGTCATCTCAATAAGTTCTCATTCAGAATAAGTTTACGCACTAATATTGTACTTGAATGAACCATTCTGTTTCTACAAAAGTATTAAGGTCAAATATCTTTGAGTTTTAATTTGTGGATGGTGACTAGCAGTGGAATCCAGGATGCGCATTTCGTCCTATTTGAGACTCGTCAATCAATCGACGGGAAAATCTAAAATTCAATTATATCTTTGAAATTATATTAATATTTTTCACGAAACCAACAGGGAAAAGAGGGGAAACATTAGATGGAAAGACTGAACAAATGAAGAAACTGATTTATGTGACAAAACCTATGGATTTTCATGTACACTCCAAGAATTCTAAGACACATGCGGGTAACAGGATATCATAGTAAAACTGTATAAATAATTTTAAAAGTAAGTTAAGAAGTGATGTACGTCTGATGTGATATTCTAAAGTCTCCTTTTGATTCTTACTGTCATTCATCAGTTATAAGGGGATGTAAACAGGAACAAATTGTTATTCTCTCGTAAAATTAAACTTATATCAGCCAATGTCTCAACCGAAAATACTTTCAGCGGGCTACACAAATAAAAAATAAGTTGATGAACTAATACTAGAAACTGTGCGTTTGCTTTTTGATAAATTATGTTCTCTTGTCGAGTTAAGGCCAATACTTACTGAATAATGCCCATAGTAGACAGTTTTAAAAACTATCAGACGTTTTTAGATATATGACTATCATTCAAAATAGATGTATCTATTGGACAGTAAACACCTTTTTTTATCTTAGCTGAAAATTATAAATCTGATATCCTAGTGATTTGTCGTCTTCAACAAGAAAAAAAAATCAAGAAAAGACAAATGTAATAGCTGCAATCATCAATACAACTACCACTCATAAGTCCCACTTCAGACTTAGAATAACAGAATGCACAGCTTGTAACGGATATCTTTAATCAATCAAAATACCTGCCAAACGCAAACCCACTAACACGTTCACAGGGGATGAATACAGTTCTTCACTTTAAATAATACAGTAATAAACAAGCAGTTTTACCTCCATATACTCCGTTCACTTGATTAGTTTGAACAAAGCAAGAACGAAGATATTTGCAAAATATGTGTTTTGCTGCCTCACAATCCTCAACCTGGTTTTGATTTTCACGTATTAAGCTGAAATCAGTATAAACCTTTTGAATTTACTTATTTATTTGTTTAGTTTTATTTATCATAACTGATCTGATATTTAGACTGCTAGCAGTGAAATAAAATGAGCTTTCTTTATCCTGTAAATAGCTTTATTCACCCCTTTTTCAAACAATTTTAATACAAGATATGGAACAGGCGTATGTAGAAATCTTTCTGAATAATTGTTTGACAGCTTTTTTTCACGCACGTGGTTCCCTTGATGGATATTGATAAAGCGAGAGATACCAAATTCGCAGTATACAGTGACGTCATTTTATTTCACTGTTTCTCAAGGATCACAATCCGAGAAACAGAGGACGCTGACAATGGAACATAGAAATGAAGAAACAACATGAAAATGATGATTATGTCGTGTTTAGATCGGATAAAGGCTCTGATGTTGTTACAAAGAACAAAAATGTGTCTACACATAGAATGCTAACAGCTCTTAGTGATACAGAAAACTTCCTTGTGGATAAAACTAAAATCTATGAAGCAAAGGATTTAAAAAAGAATAAAAGCAGCAGTAAAAAGATGCTTTTTTATAGCTAACAGCGAACAGTTATACAGCATCACTTGCTCAATCAGTTAATGTAAACTGGTTAAGTGCCTTAGCGATGTCACTTCCAACTGATTTAATAAATTTACATTCACTTGCTGTTACAAGAATACTGGAAGGACAGGAAGAAGGACTCTTATTCACTTTTCTAAGCACACTCCAAGAAATTTATGCCGCAAGAGAAGCAGATTTTCACAAATTGCAATTTGCAGATACCTCGGTGATAAGAGCATTTCGTTGAGCTCTCCAAATCGTTCAGAATATTAAATGTACGAAGGATGCTAAATTTGCTACAGTTTGCCGAAACGACCGCAGTAAAATGTTTTCAACCAAACTTATGCATACAAAAAGTGAATCCGATCAGTCTTTCACCACCATTGGTAACTGCATTTTGATTGTGATTAGACTGATTGCACAATCGTCTATACTAATTTCAGCCTTTTGAACTGTAATTTCTTAGAACTGATATGTAACCTTATAAGTTTAACACTATTCATTTATTTTCTTTCTGTCTTCTCCTGTACTTCCCTCTTTTTCTACTTTGAAATGCGCATAAATTGATAAGGATTTACACTGAAAAATTCGTATTCTTACGTTTTGGAATCCTCAGCCTATTGTATTTTTTAGACTATGATTCCAATATTGCAGTAAGTTTTTTGTTCTTTTTTACCCATTATAATTTCAGGTAGTCTACAGCTAATGAGAACCTTTGAAATAAATGACGTCATTTTATACAGTAAATTTGATCTTTCCGGCTTTATCCAAATTTTTCCTATGACCTAACAAGTTTTAAGTCAAAGTATTATCACAAGCCACTATTTACACTTCTTTCTTCTAAGTTTCTTCTTGGTGTATAACTGGTAAGAGTAATAAATCAATTTCAGTTTCTCATCGTCAGTGTCAAAACTTTTGCGGAGTTAAACTTCTCACCACTATTTTCTCAGCATGATGAAGAGATTTTAATGAATAATGCAAAACACAGTGATGCTTACTCAGTTAGTGCTACACATTAAAAATTAACGTGACCAACACAGAAAAATGGTTGGAATTCCTTAAATTCTACTTGATTAATCACTATAATTTAGTGTAAATCAAAGTTATAGGAAATAAATATTTTTTAGTAAATCAGTATAGCCCTATTTTCTGCCTACTCTACAGACAATCATGGAAAATATACATACTTTTACATATATGTTAACCACTGTGCGTTGTAATTGCTTGACTTTTCACTAAATTTGTTACTTTACAGCTTTTCTATAGTTGATTTGTAAGGGTTAGTTTTGTTTCTACGAGTTGATCATGGATTGATATCAGTTAGAGAACCATTGAAAACCAGGGAGTACTGGACAGCTATTTCATCCTAGTTTAGGAGTCATTGGCAGTACTCACCCCCTGGGGTTCGAACCCAGGAACTTTCGGTTACAAGGCAAGCTCAGCCACTGGGACCCGATTCAATGGCTAATGAATTCTAACTTCTACCAGCTTTTATCTGATTTCAAAAAGTCAGAAATGCATTAGAACGCAGTCATATCCTTATCAGCTAGCACATGTTACATAAATTATACAAGGTTGAGTGAAGAAGGACAGTACGCATCATTTTCACAAAGCCAGGGAGACATTAGTCAACTCAACAAAGAGGTAAGCTTCAGAACTTAGAAATAGTCGATTAGTATTACTGGATTACTTCAGTATCTAAAACACCATGATTATTCTGAGATAGGACGAAATGGATAAAGGATTCCGTATCCGTATATTACTAGAGATCAGACAACCAAACTTTCACCTAATTTCAATTTGATTAGACTGATGAAATAGTAGGTTTTTCTTAATTACCTATCCACTTGTTGACACTTCCCTCCACAAATCGCGAGCAATTATATATATACATATGTATGATAGTTATTTTGCTTACCTGTTCTAGTTAGAAAAGTGACCATGTCGGCCGGTGGGTGTCTTCGACCAATTTCATTCTGAGTACCAAGATCGTTTAAATTTGACTTCCTCAAATCAATTGGAACTACACGAGTAGCTATTAAAGGATGTGCTTGTACAGGATTAGCCCATTCTTCTTTAGAAGTAGGCGCTGTATCGTACAATAGTAGGTCTCGATCTGATAGTGCAGCAAATACTGGCTTCCATGTTGTATGGATGGACTGAGAATTCACTGTGACATTGTCTCCAGATGAAAGGATATCACTTACAATATTTCCATTGACATCTTCTGGATGGTCACTCGACCTATTTGATACGTCGGAACCAGTGCATCGTAATTCAACTAGCCAATCCAGTTGCTTGAGTTCCTTTTATGAGAAAAAACGGTCTCAGTAAAAATGATAAGTAGGGGGAACTTTTTAAATATTTTCAGCCTCAAATGACTACATCAAAAGCGCTCTAAAATCAAAATTACAGTTGTTGGTACAAGGGAAGTGATAAGAAAATAGGTAACTAATAAGGGCTGTCATTAAGAAAAACTACTCTTATTTTGAACAATAATCGAACAATTTTTTAATTTATTCAAAACATCATCTCTCTTCTCGAAGAAGTCAAAATAACTTCTGTAAAAAAAGAAAAAAATCTCAACATTACTTTTCGTATCATACGCATCACATAGCAGAACAGTACAGTTTACTGAATATGATTTCAAATACGATTTATTGTTTCGTAATCATATGAATACACAGACGTAGCAATACATAAAGACTCACACGACTATACAGCACGATGGGACACTAACAATCCTAATATCAGACATAGTAAGATGAAGGAGTTGATAGTCTGTTTTTCTAATGGAAGTAACGCAGACTACATGCAACAGAAATAATTCATCACCTGTTACAGATATTCCCGAAAATCATCCATCCCTATTATGGTCGTATAGTAAGAACTAAGACAATAAAAGCAGAGCCGGAAATTTTTGGAATTATACCTAATCTAATTATGAGCAAAATAGAGTTTGAAACAATATCTGGTAAAAAAAGCATCTCGCTATGTCATACATGTGATAAATGAACTACTGTGGAATTCATACTATGCATTGCCAAGACTTCCTCTGCACACATCAAATGCAAATACTTATAAAAGCCATTTGTTCAGTTCGTCTAGTTACCTTGGTCCTAATTTATCACTAAAATGAAATTACATACTACTACATTTCCCAGGTTCTACACCTACGCCAAAAAGGATGTACAAGTGAACGCAAATCTAGGAAACTTATTTTTGTATCAAAATTTATTCTGGTATACGTATCTAGTTTTGAAGATTTATAGCTTATTGGATGGCAGTCGACAGGAAGCCTTGGACCTAGGTTTCGTGCTTATTAACACTCGTCAGCAGGGCGTATCTGTTGTTGACGACTAGTGGAAACAGTTTCTTTTGAAAACCCCATACTGTTTTCCTACTTATTATTTTAGTCATTAAGATAGCTTTTATTGGTTAGTAGGGAGCACTTTTTGAAGTGAATCTATCCCTTTATCTATATAGTGCGTATGATTCATATAATTATTTGTGAAATCAACTCAACCTGGATAGAAGTATATTACTTTCAACACAGAAATGATGTGATCGATGAATGTTATTGTACAAAAAGTTGTGTGAGTGATATCACCCAATTCTGTAGTAAAATTCTGTACAACGGTTTGATTTCAGTAGGTGAAACAGAGTGTATTAGGCAGTTACAACCATTTTGTATCTTCATGAAGGATTTCACTTGTGTGTCAGAATATCGGTGAAACAAATTGAGTATGTCAAAAACAGATTTTGTAAAATTGTGTTACAATAGTTATCACAGTTTCAATCACGAGACATTTACAACCATTCATCACTTTCACACTAAGAAGTCTCTACAACCGTTTAGGTTAGGAAAAATTCTCTTGGAGAGGCAGCTAGGAAGGGAATTATTATGGTTGTATAAATAATTCTGATATTGGTTACAGGATTTCATCATGAACTGACATTGGTTAGAGAACCATTGGGAAACCTGAGAGTACTGGACATCTGTTTCATCCTAGTTTGGGACTCTTCAGTAGTACGCACCCACCGGGGTTCGAACCCAGGACCTTCTGGTTACAAGGCGAGCTCGTATACCATTAAGCCACTGGGACCCGATCCAATGGCCCATGAATTCTAACTTCTGCCAATTCACGATATAGCGCAACCGCTAGCCAATGTCTTCGGCGAGTATTTGTCCTCACACCCGACCTGCTGCACCCTACTGGTCACGACTTCCAATGGTTCTCTAACCAATGTCAGTTCATGATGAAATCCTGTAACCAATCAACCAAATCCCTACAAACCAATACTTGAATTCTGATATTACTGCGATTTTGTTTAATTTGATTAATCAGCTTGTTTTCCAATCGTCAAATGTGATAGCATTTTTGGTACAGATGATCCACATGATTTAGTGGGCTTTTGAAAAATAATTGTCTCACTCTATGCTAAGTCATAGATCTAAAAACATGATCAAAAATAGTGCTGTGGACTTCAACGGTTGTGAACTCAGAACACATAAGTATGTAACACCAACTTGTATTTTGCTTGACCAAAAGACGAGACATCTGACGATTATGGAAAATAATAAATTGGTTTTCTAAAACAAAAAGTATATTTTGGGGCAGTTGTCACAGTGTTATCTGAAATGTTTTTGGTTTTTACAAGAAATAAAGGTAAGCTTTTACATCAGACTGTTTTCCATGGAAGAAACATCCATCCTTATTGTTCTTATGTGTTTCGGATACCGACTTAAGGTTAAGTTAGAATAATGGTTAGTCATGAACGTATGTTCTGAAGCCGATCATTTTTCCCAGAATTTGCTTAGCACCGTTCATATAGATAAACAGATAGGTGAATACAACAGCTAAACAATGTGCGTTTCACCATACTTTGTAACTTTAAAGTAAGAAAGAAATATATTTTTTTTGAAAGCTAAAAGACGAAGTGTAATTGAATAGACGGTTATCAATTAATAGGTTGACAGTGATTGCAATAACGAAATTTAGCCATGTAAACCAGTCAGTCAGATTCTTGTAAACTTCACTAAGAACCTTCGATATTAAAAAATGGAGGAGGAAATTTATCAGATCTTGAATATAACATAGAATGCAATTCCTTCCATTGACTACAGGTATTTGACACGATCCGTTAAAAGCCATTGACTTAGCGGAATAAAGAAATACTTTAGCAACATACTCAGCAAATCAGGCAAAACACAAAGTGATTCTCTTCATCAGACTTGTTCATTATGAAAACCCTCTTGAATAGATATATTCTTAATATTGTTAGGTAGTGACTAACAGTGGTCTAAAAGGCATACTTTCCATCCTCTTCATTACTCGACAAGAAGCAGATGCACCGGCATTATAGTACACTGTTGTTCACTTTCCAATATCTTATATACTGACTCAAGTGTTTAAGTGTTGTTGTGCTTCAGAAAATTTTATGTTTAATTATGTTATATACTTTAAAATAGGAATATTCATTCCTAGTCTGAACGAGTTATTGTCTAGGGACAAAATAAAACACGATCAATACAAGCACCTATAGTTGATGTAAATATCTACTATAATGGAAAATTACATAATATCTTAAAGGCATAAATTATTCTGACTTACTTGTGTTGGTGGGAGGAGACGATTCAACTCTGCTAAATAGCATTTATTAATAATTTTCATTTTACTATGTATGGCATCAAACCACATACGTGCTTCTTGTGCGTCGGCTGCACGAAGAAGACACGATCTTCGGCCATCTGGACTGTGCAGCTCGAAACAACAACCAGTCAGGTCTGGCAATGTTAAGTCTCTCACTAAATGCGTTAATCTTAATGGTACCACTCCAGGACCACCAGGACGTCCTGGATGTTCACCAGCACCTGAAGCTGAGGAGCTTTTAACACTCGTATCACCCGATCCCATAGGAACGAGACTGCCAAGCTGAGTAGTAGGCCAACTCAAATCCGCAGAACAAGCTATAGTCTCCATGCCTACCGCCCTGTAAATGATAAAAAAAGAAAAGGACCAAATTGTTTATTAGTCTGTGAATGTTTGAACAAATAATAAGTGGCTGAATAAATGTTAAACTAGGCTTATTCAGTGAAATATAAAACTTCGAAAAACTTTATTGTGATATCTAAAAAGGGTGAATTTGTTACTGAACTGCTTTCCCTGTTATTCTTTTTTGATGAGGAACTTTTCAAATCCTAACCAGAATCTGCTACCTGTCGTACAATGGAAGCAAAAGGTTGAGACAAGTTGACAAGTATCTGAAATTATATCACAAAATAAATGAAAGTCATCATCAATATGCCCCCTGTCTTTTTTCAATTTATTGTCTGAATGTTACTCTTCTTTTTCAGAAAAAAAGGAAAATTAGCTGAGCAATAATTCTGTTTAACAGCAAATTGACTGACTTGCCTTTTGATAAACACCGGGTTAAGTATACCAACAACTTTTATTAAAAGTATTCTGTACAGACTTACTCAACTTAGTACGCGCAACCAATGGGTGCTTTCTGAGGCTCAAACTAAATATATGCCTTCATAAAATACTAAGTGGAAGCTAACTGCGTTTATATAGTTCGGTATGACAGTACTCCACGATGATACAATTTGAACAGTTCAGAAATGGTCTGATTGCAATCAAACATTCATGCAGAAATTGTGACAGTAATACTCTGGGTATTCACTGTCAGTAACTCCTTGGCTTTAATAAACATTTTACACAAATCCGGACAATTGTGTTTAAAGGTTATACATATAAACCGAGTTCATGTTCATTAGTTTGAAACTTTTGGGCGATAGGTATGTGGAATATTATCATTATAAAAGTTCTTGTATTTCCTACTAAGTTTCAGCTGTTTGATGCTAATAGCTTTATCAAAGTATTACTAAATCAGAATTTACAAAAAATCAGCATATTTACAGTAATTTCACCACACTTCTTGAGCACGAGGTGGCTTTTAGTTGTCAAGTGGGTGAACTGATAAACATAGCAAATTATGTGGAGGTTACTGGATTTGATAAATATGTTTACATAATGGAACTGCTTATCGTATTTATATTAACTTTGTCATTTCATGGAGGGGGGTAGAAATGTTGGAACTAGGTTAAACTCTTTCTTAGTCCATCATGCCTGTCGATAAATTTTGGATTTCATTTAGTACGAAGTGCTTCTGATATGAAACATTCTTTGGTTTCACAGTTTGTTGTATGATTTCAATATTGTCAAAGTTAATTTTATGAACTGACGCTATAGCGTGTGGACCTACAGCTGCTGATCTTTCGAGCTTTTCTAGTCCCATAGAATTTCTCGGTGGTCGACTAGAGATTCTACGGTGTTCACTTCCTCTGACCTTGATTTGTCACGAGGTTTATCCGGTGTATACTTCACATTCTATGCATGACTGTTTTATAGACTCTAATCCTGAAACATTCTGAATTCGGTCATTCACATGAACAAGATTACTTTTTAGTACGTCTGATGCTTTGAGGAAAACTCTGATGTTTCATTTATTGAGTTTTCTTCTGTTATCATCTGACTGTTTGATCAATGTAGAATGAAGGCTGTTGAGGTCCATTAAACATGTTCATAAATCTTCAGCTAACTAAAGCAACATGTGTTGACTTCGTATGAACAACTTTAACGAATTTTGGACTGGAAAAATAAAATTCTCTTCATGGGCGATTTAAAAATAAAGTTTTTTCAGAGCAATCACAAGAAAAATTTTATTTTTTTATTCATTTATAAAAAAGCTTAGAAAAGTATTGCTACAATCTCATACAATTTTTTATTCAGGCATCTTTCCAGCTTTTTATATTAAAGTATCCGGATACGATACAATTTAGTAAAACAGAGACAAATACAAGTATGGTAGTTACAGAAATTTAAGACCAATTCCAACTTTTTCAGTACTACCCCACAAGCACAGAAACTGAAAATTTTTAAATCTGTATGAACTTGTATTTGTAAGGCTGGATATTGAAGTCCATAAGAAACCTGAATTGTAACCACATTGAGAACAGAGGTTTCGGGTTTGTTGTACTAATGGCATCACCTTAGCATCAAGTTTTACAGTATGTAGATTGAAACTGTCGGTCTCTTGTTTACCTCCTGTTGTAAATCATTCCTTCTGACATTAAGAATCATACACTACTTTAAAGACGCGCCCACAAGTCCACGCCATTTGACATGGATTAATTTATAATGAAACGTTTGTATTACAATTTGGACTAAAAAAAATTAAGTCATTTGTTAGCGCCATCCAGTCAACAGTAAGAATTATCTCCTACTATAAGTAGCCAGTAATCAGTATCCAAAAATATTACCCATGAGTCAAAACCCCTTCAGATATTACAATGATTCATCCTAAGTCGTATCACTTTGGTAAATAAGCAAAGCAAAGCTAGATTTGAATGTGCATTACTTTTTAACAAAAAAGCAATGAAACAAAACTCTCACCAAATTAAAACATTCAAGCACGTATAAACAAACACTGCCACCAAGTGTTTTTGAAACTATGATAAGAAACTTTGTTTAAAACTGTTACTTGTAAAAATAAAAATGAAACATAAACAAAGAATGGTGGATAACTGACCAAAATAAACGTGGTAGAAACAATAAGTTGTCGGAATCAAACTAAAAGTAACCTAAAATCACATTGATTCTTTTCCCAAATAATATTAGTTAAATATTTTAGAAAGACACCTCTAAGTTCCAGTTGACGTGACTAAACAACTTAAGGGTGAGGACATAACACACCAACTAATAGTAATTCATAATTTTTTTCGATACATTGTCAACTAAATGAAACTGAAAACAATAAATGCTAAATTGCAATTAAGACATGATTTAGTTGGAAAATGAGATCACTAGGCTCTACCTCGTACTACAATAAATGCTAGTCAATAGTGAAAATTCCCCGTTAAGGATGAAGCAGCTATGAAGCGATTATTTGTTTCCGATTATTCATAGGGTGATATATATGTACATGTAATTTCAACTGTGCGTATTTTGTGCGCAGAAATGCAGACTGCACTCTCTAATCTCCGATACAATTTGGTGAATAGAAGTAATTCACTTAATATTCGACTGACATAAACTGATGGAGTGTTAGTCTGTGTGTGAATACAATATCTACACTAATCGATAATATCAGAAAACGAAAATGGAAATTTAAGCGTGACCTACAAAAACTAAGTGGACACCAGAGTGCTCATATCACTTACAGTCTAACACAGTAATTCATAGCGATTGTAAGTGTTTGCATACTTTAATGCTTTCTAAAAACTATGTTAAATAAACAGTACGTAAGCAACCGGAATGAAACCTTTTAAAACAATGCTATAAAAAATCTGTTAATCAAATGGAAGGAAAAGTGGAAAGAAAACCTGATGCGTATACTAAAAGTTTCTGAGATGCAGAAATTCTGGTGAAGCAATATGACAATTCAAATCAAGTACGTGATGCATAACATTTCTTTCTGATACAAAATTATAAAAAGTAATGAGTATTTAAAACTCAGGACTGAATGTATTCATGTAGTTTCGATTTCACCCATCATATAAATGCTCAGTAAAATTGGTTAGGTGGATCAAATACAACACTTGAAAAGATGTTTACATATGATGACAAATGAGCCAGAGTAATGGAATAAATATTGCTTTATGTGCTACAGATGTTCCCTTTCATTTGATTTGTCAGCTATTCTGTGAAGTTAAACCAGACTGCAATGAAAAAAAAGACTTTTTCCTGTCAAGTCTAGAGGTTGGAAGTTGAAGGCGGCAAATACAACAGGCAGAACTCTTTTTAAGTCATACAAATAAATACTCTAACTTCAGTAATGGAGAACTACGAGTGGAAATTTTGAATTTAAAGTGGAACATTACGAAAATGATACTTGTTAACAGCAGTTAAGATGTCCCTGAAGTAAAAAGGACCAATTGGATTACAGAATGGTTCACTTAATGAAAGCCTTCATGAAGTGGACATGACACTCATTCGAAAGCTTTATTGATATACAGTAGCAAAAGAAATCTGACTGGAATATGGTTTAATAGTACGTATAAAATTGGTTCTGACAACGAGATCGATTACAAAGCAGAGACTTCGAAAGATACTATATCTAATAATGAAGATTATCAAAGATTTGTTGGCAAGCATTTTATAGTACAGGCAGGGAAAAATTGTCCTTACATCTCTAAAAGGTATATATATATAATTTCAAAGTTTAGGGCACATGACATACAGGAAGTACCAAAGCAGAGATTCGAAAAAATTGTGAGAATTATTTATTAGACTGAAAAAAAGTGTATTATCCAACACAGCAAGCATACAGTGCGACAGTTGAGGCTAATGACTACCCAATTCTCTTTGACAGAGTTTGTGGAAAGATATGTACACGTTGTGCGAAAGTCTGGCTTTATATTTGCATGGTTGCACACTTTTTTAAATGGTTGGGATACAAAAATTCGCATTACTTTAGCAATTAAATGTACTTGGAACTATTGATGCAGTAACGATGCTGCTAATTCTTTTACCACCGTCAACGATGAAAAGAGATTTAAGAAGATGTGTTCGAAAAGAATTTATAAGCGAAATATCTGTTTGCTGAATCTACCTTGGTAATATTTTTCAGTACACTATAACTAGTCAAGTTAATAATATCCCATACATTCATTGATATTTTATCAGTCTTATTTTTAAATAATTCTTTCCTCAATTAGTCCTACGTCGACACTTAGTCTGTTCCATTTACTGAATATTTTTATCACAACTTAATCATAATAACAAACGTTTTACTCACCAGGCTCTTCGAACATGGTGTAAAACCTTGAGAGTTGGAGGAAACAGAAGCTGGGCTTAACTCTCATTGAGAACACTATCACACTAAGATAGACATATAAACATCCAACGTGTTTTGAGTGAGACAAAAAGCTAGTTGTTGGCTCCAAAAGCATGTAGTTATTTTAATAGTTACATTGTAATTCTTATGTG